ATAAAAAGGGAACTTTTTCTATTAGCAATGCTACAGGGCATGTTGTTGTTTTTTTTAAAGATAAAAACAAATGATTTTATTTTTTTAAATCTAGAAAACAAGTTGTGACTTCCAGAACATCAAAGGATCTTTATTACTTGCAATATCTAGGGATATATTTGTCACACTTAAAACCAGTTATCAGTCTTAAATTCAGTTTCTAAGCCTTTGGCTAAAGACAGGACATTGATCCAGAACTCTGGATCAGATGCCTGGATTTTGAGTCCTAGTTTTGTTATTAATTTGTAATAGTGACTTTCCCATATGTTAACCTTCATTTTCTCATCTGTACAATTAGATAAACTCAGGCTCTTTTCAACATTGAAATTTTATAATTTACATATAAATTCATATTTGAGACACTGAATAGACTAGCAATTGGGTGCTCCTTTTTATAATAATTGTAGAGGTTAAAGGAATATATAGAATGAACATATAGAAATAAGATTAAATGGATATGCAGTGGAATCAGTCTTGAGTTTCAATTTTGCCCCTGCTCCATGCTACAGTGGGCCTCAGTTCCTGAAACACTCTCCTTTCCAGTTTCCTAAGATGGGAATCATAATAATTAGTACCTACCTTGACTGGGGATGATTCAATGAGAGAACAGTGTTATTGTAGTTGTTGCAAATTGGTCACCAAACTTTTCTATTGGGACGAACACTAAAACAYTCTCAAAACAGCTAATGGCAGTCATCTTCCAAAAAATGACACAATCACAATATGCCAATCTTTCTCTGAAGAAGCAATTAACGAGGTAGATATTTCTGGTCTAAATGATGTCAAGTTCTTTCATAACTATGCATTTAAAGTGACTTGGAAATAGTCCTGTCTCAAGACAGGACACCAACAAGATGATGATTCATAAATTGCTTCCAACTCTTAGATTCCCTTTCTTAGACATTGTTGCATGGGCTCCAATTGTTTACCTAGAATAAACTTGAAATGAGAATATTGGGAATACTCTTAATTTTTAATTTTCTTCTGTTGTACTTTTGCCATTAGTTTATACAGAAAGTACAAAAGCAGAACCAGATGACAGCAGGGGAAGAGGAATAGTTATTCCAAATTTGAATTTACAAATCTCAAAGACAGGCTGTGTGCCATGGAAGAGGAATCTTGGACTGTCTCCTGTCTTGCCTGGTTACACAAGGCACAGCTAACGTGGCTGGACCTCTAGTTCTGTTGTCACAATACATTTCTGGTGTATCCCAGGGGCCTGGTAAATGATATGTGTCTGCTGCTTATCAGCAAAAGATAGCAGAGGCCCTGCTCCTACTACCAGTGCTCCTAGAGATGTTTATCACCCGGACCCTGAGGACAGGAGTTGACCCATACCAAACACTTCAAAAATAATGTCAACACACCCAAGACTACAGCCTGCAAGGAATTTTCTGAGATAAGATTACAACTTTGTCCTTAAATGGTTGCCAAACAAGTCAGTAGATCCCCAAATGTTCCCTGAGCAGAGCAACCCTGTAGGTTATCCTTCATACCAGGGAATTTTAGGAGCTCAGTTTTTGTGCTGCTAAATGCAAATGCCCAGCTATTATTTTCCAAAGTATGCACAAAGCTCTAGTAAGACCTAAGAAAGTTCCAGCAGAGTGGAGGACCGGAAGCCTGAACTTGGAGACCATAATGTCAACTCATGGAATAAGCTGGAGACTGATCTCCATTGACAAAAGCATTTGTTCATCTTATGTCAGGATTTCATTTCTTCTCTTTTGGCTTTGTCTAAGCCAGAGGGCCTTCAAGGCCAGATTAGAGCTCTAGTGTGGGGCTAGGGCAAAGTCATTATAGGAAAAGATGACTCAATCTTAGAGTAGGTTTGAAAGGCCACTGTAATCATTTGTTTGAACATTTAGTCATGTGTTCAGTTTAAACACCAGTATGCAAACTGGCACTGTCAGGCACCCATGGGGTGAGGTAGAGCTTTTCAGGCATTGTCCTGAGACCAGGCTCTGGACAGGCATTCTCTAGAGACTACATTGGTGAAGCCCACATGGAGACAACACACCTTTAATTTGTCATCCTAACATTATTGAAATCATTTGCTTTGGCATGTCCCACATTCCTTCCTTTGTATTCCATGTGCTCAGTCCTCATGTGAACTTCTGGATTCTAAACCCTTCTTTCTGGGGCCATGTTTTATATATATATATATATTTTATATGGTGTCCAGATTCATTTTAAAAATGAAAAAACACCTTTTTATCATGTTGTCTCACAGTAGAGTCTCACAATAGGGTTCAGACTTCTCCATTTTTTTATTGAATCCTCACAAGTCTTTCCATCCAGATTCTTCTTCTTCATTCATTTTTTTTTTCATGTAATTGCATCCATTACATCTTATTTTATCTACCATAGTCTGGATGACTTGCTTTTCAGTTTTCCTAGCTCTGTGCTTTTGTTTTGGCTATCCTATTCCCTTTGGGAATATGCCCAACCCCTGCCACCCACCTTCTGTATGGCTGCATCTCTTCCAGGAAACTTTTTCAGACTAATCCCACCCTTACTGATCTGACCTGCCTCTGAACTCTGTCCAGGCAGACCCTCGCGATTAATCACATACTGCTCACTTACTGCTGAGTGAATTTATCTTTATTTTGCCTTCTCTGTCTTGCTTTTTCATTCTCCGCCCTCCCCCTCACTTTGCCTTTCTGTATTATCATGTGTGGACGAATGTGTGAAGCAGACAGGACATCTCTGAAAATAAAATCTATGTCATATATTTTTAGAACACACAATCTGATCCATGCTCCCTAACATTGTTATTGGTTAGTAATTCTTGCTTAGCATCTGGATTTGCAAACTGATGCTCTCATGATGCTGTGCAGCTTCTGGAAGCCTTGGGAACCCAGCTTTCTCACACTAATAGAACCAAGAACAGAATCCCTAAACAATAGGAAGACATTGGAAGTGGGCTTAAAGAGCTTCCTTTGGAATAAAATTTAAAGCTATTCTATAAGCCAAAATAGGTGGAATCTAATGCTAATCGCCTCAGAGTTTAAGGGGTTTTTTAGATGTCAAGAACTGGGGGAAAATTAAATGAAGTTTAATTTAAACCTTCCTGTATGCTCACATCTGCCCAGTACCTTTTCTAGCCCCTCTGTCCCACCACAACAGTGTGACTTTTTCTGGACTTGTTCTACCTCCACCCTCATCCTGCCCCCACAACAGGGAGGTTGGAGAACTGGGTGAGGCACCGGCTTTAAGGGCCCAGGAAACACTAACAGGCATTCACAGCTCTCCCTGTTCCTATAAGCTGATGTTCCTAGGCAAATTGACTGGTTTCTCCAAGTCTGAAGTTTCCTCTTCTGTAAAATGAGGATAATAGAACTTCCTCATAGAGTTGTCCTGAGAGGGAAATCAGATAGCCCATGTAAAAGGCTTAAACCATTGCAAGTACATTATCACACTGAAAATAGTCAGCCCATGGCATAACAGCTTATAAACAATATGCTGATTTTTYCCATTTAAAAAAGACAAAACAAAACAAAGTCTCTTCATCTCCAATCACTATCCCTTTAAAACAAAACAACTCCCCACTCTGACTCCTTCCTCTCCCATTCTCTGGCACTCTCTCTAATCAGGCTTGGGCCCCTCCACTCCATTACAGCTGGGGTTTTTTGCAAACTCACCAATGACTTCCTTGTTGTTAAGTTGAAGACGTAATGCTCAGGTCAGTGCTCTTGACCTGGCAAGTAGCATTTGACACAGCAGATTTCTCCCTCCTCCACAAAATACTCACTGGGTCCAGTCTCCAGGAACACCCCCTCCTCTGCCATGACTGCCTCCTTGACCTTCCATCTCCCAACTTCTGGCCTGGCCCTCCAGCTTCTTTTTTATCCCTATGGATGACCCTTGATGACGTCACCCAGCCTCATGGCTTCTAACGCCATTTCTACACCAGCATCCAGCTTGCCAGCACTTTCTCCCCGAATCTCCAGACTTGTATCAAGCTGCTGCTCAGCTTCTCCACTCACATCTGGTATGGGCTTTCAGAGATTCCTGAAACTGATCTCCTGTCTATCTACCCTCCCCAAAACCTGTTCCTTCCATAGTCTTCCCCATTTCAGGAACCTATCCTAATAGTTGTTTAGGGTAAAACCCAAAGTTAACCTGACTCCTCTTTTTTCATTTATCATGCAGTTTGTCAGAAAACTCTCTCTGCCATGTCAAAATATATGCAGAATCTAATCCCTTCTAAGAAGCACTTGTTCAGCCCTCCTAGCAGCCACCAATGTCCTCCAGCTGGAATAGTAYGGCAGCCTCAGCCCCCCTCCCTGTTTCCACTGCCCTCAACCTATAGACACTAGACTGACCTTTTAAAATGTAAGGCAGACCACATCACTCTGGCTAGTATTCTGATGGTTTTCTTTCCAGGTAAAAGCCAAATGCATAATGCTGGCCACCCAGCCCCTTTGGCTCAGTACCTGCTGCTTCTCTTAAGTCCTTCTTATGCTGTCCCCCTCGTTCACTCTGCTGAAGCCACCGCCAGCACACCCTAGGTCCTGCCTCGGGACCTCTGTACTGGCTCTTCTGCCTGCCTGCCTGGAAAGCCCTCTGCCAGATGGCCACATGTTCACCTTCACTACCCTTAGGTCTGCACTCTACAGTCAAGTCCCAAGACTTTCCCTGACCAACTGTTTTATTTTTCAGCATAGCTCTTCTCATGCTTTACATTTTACTTATTTTATTGTTGTCTTGGTCCATTGTTCTAACCAGAATGTAAGCTCCATGGAGGCAGGAGTTTTTATCTGCACAACACCTGGATGGTGCTTCACATGTTAAAAATCAAATTTCAGCCATTATTGCTGGTCCTCGCCTGGAGTCCATGGCTGGCCTTGACCTTCTGTCTTGTGCCCTAGCTTCCTGAGGATGGATCTGTCTTACTCCCAGATCAGCATCCTCCTTAACTGCCTCTGATATGGCTCTGTCTGTCTGTTCTTCCTCCTCAGATGCATACTCTCATTCCTCCAGCGAAAATGGAGGCAAATCTGAATCCGTGGCCAACTTGCAGGCTCAGCCTTCCCTGAACTCCATTCACAGTTCCCCTGGTCCCAAGCGCTCCACCAACACCCTGAAGAAGTGGCTCACCAGTCCTGTGCGTCGACTCAACAGCGGGAAAGCAGATGGAAACATTAAAAAACAGAAGAAAGTACGCGATGGTCGGAAAAGCTTCGACCTGGGCTCTCCCAAGCCTGGGGATGAGACCACCCCTCAGGGAGACAGCGCTGACGAGGTACTTAGGGGTCCCCAGAGCCCTCCATCTGGAAGGCACCACTGACATGCCTCCTGCACGGTTCTGTAATCTAGCCAGTCTCCAAGAGCTTGTCATCGTGAGCCTCAGTGACGAGTTCGATCTRTGACCCATTCATCAGAGAATAACCAATACCGGGCATATCCAGCAGCCAGAAACCACTTTGCCATATTTAGAGTTAGGGGCCTGGCCTGAGGATGGCAGTTGGTCACCTGCCTCTACTGAGGACTACACCAAAACTGTCCAGACCTATTCAGACTAACCGTGAAAGAATGGAGACCATTTCATTATGAAAATAGAAGACTGAGCTGTGCCCAGGTGTCTGGAGCAGTACCATGTGTAAAGGGAGTAAACAATTCCAGGTTGCTGCAGAGGGGAGAGCTATGATGGAGGTGCGGCCAGCCTGGTCGCCACTCAGCCAGGAGCTTTGATGGGGCAGCCAGTGAGGGAGGATAAGTACCAGCTCTCATCACTGCCGAGGTTGAGAAGATCTTTCCGATGTGTAGCCATACTTCTTGTTGTAATTTTATGCCCTCTGCCATTTCTTCCTCTGGAAGTGGCATAGGGCCTGGTGACATTTCAATTCGGCTCTACTAGCCCTTCATAAATTTTTAAAAMGTTGGGCTCTCTTGGCTTTTCTTTCAGCGTTCTCTTTTTCTGACTAATCAGAAAAAGCATTCTGAGGTTTTTTTTTGGGGGGGGGCGTGTATTTACCCCTATTTGGTTCTCACTGTCCTTTGAGATAAGGGGTATCTACGTTACAGAGAAAGAAACTGCAGCTACAAAGAAAGGCCTGTGTGTCCAGAGGAACCCTCCTGGTGTCTTATGTTTTTGTATGTCAAGTCTGAACCCTTGGTATCTTAGCTAACGCKGCTCTTTTGTTCTAGAAGAGCAAGAAAGGTTGGGGTGAAGATGAGCCAGACGAAGAGTCACACACACCCCTCCCTCCGCCCATGAAGATCTTTGACAACGACCCCACACAGGACGAGATGGTAGGACCTCTGGCTTCTCGGTGGAAAAAGTAATGCTTTATGCCCTGGACTTCATTCCGTGTGTGTGTGTGTGATGAGAGAATGATGTTCTCTCTCTGTTGTTATCTCTTACTCCTCGCGAATCCACAGTGATAGCGATTCTAGGTGTCCTCTGCCCCAATCCTGGAGGTCTGGCTTCATTCTGGACAGTGTAGGGGTGTATGTAGAGTTCTTAAAATGGATATCTGCCTGGAATCTCATTCTGTTGATATAAGTTAATGGCTCTGTCTTTGGAAACAGCAGCTTTTAGAAGGAACTGTTTGTCCCCAGAAGGAATCTGTGGTGGTTCTAGGTGGCAACCATGTTATTATGCTTGACCATATGATCTGTCTTAGTTGTCTTTTCTATACCCAACTCTAAAATAGAATCATGGTGACTTCCAGTCAAGTCCTGTGCTATTAACATTCTGCAGTCTCAGCAGACAGGTAGAAATACTGCTAAGGGAGGAGGGCGGTGTCAAAGGTAGTCAGGCCTAATGTGCTCGGTTGCCCAAGTTTTTTGTTTTGCAAAATTCCACAGCCTGTCCCCTGTGCCTCTGACCCCCTAGGGGTCACCTCAGTCATTCTGGAGCAGAGGCTCAGACTGGATGGTTGGAATTGACCCCATGGTACTAATCTGGGGCATTGGGCCACTTTCATTGTGCTATCTGTCCCTCTCTCTTTTATAGCCATGCCATTAATCAGTGGGGTTTTCCTTGCCTTCTCTTGGTATGACTGGTACCTTGGACTCTGGAAGTGGTTTTGTGTTTGGTTGTCCTTTCCATTTGCTTTAGGAGCATCATTTGGTGGTGGTGGTGGTGGTTGTGGTTACTTGCCTCACTGTCCCTCAGGCTTCCCCTGTGCCTTCTAGTTTCTCTGTGGGGCAGCCTCCTCCAAGGCGGTGGGCCCACCATGTGTGTGCAGGAAACAAGCTTTCATGATCCCACCTAGGATGAGATTCAAAGGAGGTCTTCAGAGGCTTCTGTGTTTCTAACATCCCAGCTCTTATATTAATTCTGTGTGCCTTGCATTTAATTATTAACACGCAACCATTATTTCAGGTCTTCTTCTGTGCTATGCTAAAAGGACAGTATAGAAATAGGACAAAGACTAAGAGGTGGTGACTGCCCCTGGGGCTTGCACATGAGAAGCACACACATCCTGAGGTGATGTTGGTGGCTCTGCTCTCTGACTCTGGACTGTTGGGAAGAAAAGTGGTAGGAAGCATGGCATTCTGCCCATCCTGGATCCCCAGAGGCAGAGAGGCCTACACTTCACCTTGAGATGGGAATGAGGACAAGCTTGCTGGTGTTCTCAGAGTTCTGCCCTTGTAAAATGTTCTGTAAACAGTGACATGTCTATGGGGGTGGGGTTCTCATGTCCCAGTATCTGCCATCCCACACAGCCCTCCACTCAGAGGAGCCAGCTTGCATAAGATAAGAGGTCACGCACCCTCGCCCTTGGATTCCCTCAAATGTAGCTTGTTTGGGAGAAGTGGATATTGTGCTGTTTCTGGGTAATTTTTAACCAAGAGTGCGATGTACCCCAGATATTTGGGTGGCCCTTTTCTTAGCCAGAAATAGGACCAATGGCAACAGTCCCTTTTATTACATTAACTCTCCTCAGTCCTACTTGTTTGACTTCTGTACACAATATTTGGAATTGAGATGAGCATCAGAACTTCTAGCAAATAGAGTCAGACTTATTAAAAACAATTTTTGCAGCAGTATAAAAGAAACTTTTAAAAGTTCAACCATTGCACTATTGTGCAATCATCCTCCCTGTTTAACCATTGTTCACATGCATGCGTGTTTTACAATTACTATGGGCGTATGACGTGCTCCATGCTTTATCTGCTGCCATTTCCTAGAATCTTATTAATTTTACCTTCATGACTTTAACTTTAATACCTGGAGAATGTTTTACTTTTTTGATGTTCCATAATTTGCTTGACCAGTCCCTTCATGGGACATCCGAACAGGGTGTTTCCAATCCACTACTTGAAATAATACCTCTGCAGATCACCGTGTGTATATAGTATTTGTTCTTTTAATGTCAGTCCTTGGACTAAATTCCCAGGAGTAACATTAATAGATCAAAAATGATATCTTTGTTTTCCAAACCATGAGCATTTTCCTGCATCCCCAAGAGAGGAAAAAGAGATTGTTATAATTGTTCTTAATTGTACTTATTTGATTCTTCCACATTTCAAAAGCAAAGACTGAAAAGGAACTCTTACATTAGAAAGGGAGTTTTCTGGTTTGAAATTCTTCCCCTAACTTAAGGGAGAAACTTGAAGTCAGGACAAGGCCAAGACAGTCAACTTTCTATGTCCACAGTGGTTATTCCCGTGCGTTGGCCTGGGTACCACTGCCCTCCACTCTGACATACATGCAGCCTTGGCCATCTCTCCCCCAGCTCCTCCTCAGGTAGAGAAGAAAGGGAAAACCAAGCAAACAAACAAAAGCCATCATCCAGCAAGAGGTTATCCCCAGCCCACTGAGCAAATAGCCATACCAACAAGTCCTTACCCCTGGTAAGGTGGAAGAGGGCCCCAGAGAGGTCCTTCAGTTGAGCCCCTCTTGGCTATAGCAGATGTCCCCACCTGCCCAGCATGTAACATACAGCTCCTGCGAAAGCCTCTGTTGCTTCTTGGTGTTCTAAGGAAGAGGCAGAGAAAGAGAGGGAGAAAATGTGGAAGGGGGTGTCTAGCTTCCAGGTCTCTAAAGTACCCTGCCCCTAGCATTTTTCTAGGCACAGTAAAGATCCATACCTAAGGCAGTAACACATTTGAGACTGGGTTGATTGCAGACCCTGGAAAGCAATGGGCAGCCATATAGTGGCTTAAGTCCTATTTGCCCTTGGAGCATTTGTCCCTGCCTCCTGCCATTAGTAGGTGTTGCCCTTGCCTATTGGCCCTCCTAGGAACTCAGTGACCCTTCCTCTCAACTCCTTTGGAGGCCTGCCTAAGGAGAGGCAGTCCCATCTATGCTTTGCTGCTGCCAAGACTTCCTGACCAGGGGTTGGGCAGGCCTGCTCCACCCCACTACTCTTAACCCCATTTCCCTCTGTCGCCTCTTCCCACTAAACACAGAGCTTTCCTTTCCTTGCCTGCCTTGAGCTTTGGACTTTCTGTTTGGCTTTCTAATTGCTGTTCCTCATTCCTTGCTAATCTGCTTTTCCTTTGCTGCCCAATGTCTTGCAGTCCTCCTCTTTGCTAGCAGCCCGGCAGGCTTCCTCAGAAGTACCTACTGCTGCAGACCTTGTCAGTGCAATAGAAAAGTTGGTCAAAAGCAAGCTGGTAAGTGGGGGTCCTGGAGGCAGTTCTGTGTGCGTGTCACCTCCATGCGGCTCCCAGGGCATTGAATCTACTCCAGGTTCTCATTTTCACTTATCCTCATCCCTCCTGTAGAATTATTTCCAATGATGATGGTTTTTGAAAACCTGTGCTCCAAAATTGGCTTTATTTTGGAATGGGCATGGGAAATTAATAGGCCTTTATGGGGTTGTGATGTTAGCAAAAGGCATAAAGTATCCCATACAAATTAGCCTCACGGTAAGCCTGACCCGCTGGCCCCCAGGCAAGTGGCCTTTAGTCAGTGACTGAGGTGTCTGGATGCTCTGAAGCTCATGCACTGGACTGCTGAAACAGGTGGGTCTTTGAAAATACCAAATAATTTTATTTAGGGAGCTTCTAGCTTGCAAAGTYTTGCAAAATTAAGACTGCTGGTTCTAAAGGGGAATGGGCAAAAGTGYATAGATATCTTGCCACAAAAAATCAAGGGAATAGGATGCGGTGGCACATGCCTATAATCCCAGCAGCTCAGGAGGCTGAGGCAGGAGGATCATGAGTTCAAAGCCAGCCTCAGAAAAAGCAAGAAGCCGAGCAACTCAATGTGACCCTGTCTCTAAATAAAATACAAAATAGGGCTGAGGATGTGGCTCAGTGGCCGAATGCCCCTAAGTTCAATTCACAGTATCCCTCCCCACCCCAGAAAAAAATCAAGGGACCTGGTGCCTCTCTCCATCATGGAAGGAAAAACTGAACATACGCACTGGCAGCTGGTCTAGCCTGTGACTATCCAATGGACCCATCACGCCACCTGAAGGCAGGGTGGTCTGAGCTGGCTCGGGACTTTGGCAAAGGGCCGGTGAAAATTCATTTCTGGATGGTTCATTAGGACAGAGTTGCCCTCCACTCCCAGGCTTTGACGTCTAAGTATCACTGTAAGATGATAATTTGAAGCATTTTCCTTTCTTTCTCATCTGTGTCACCCATTTGGCTTTTCCTGCAATCTCATTAAGATAAATGCCTGTGCTCCTACCAGGCTTCTGCTGGGAAGTCTTGTTAATCACCACTGTTTAGACCTTTCTCCACCAGGCCCAAGAATTAGGGGGAGACGGAGCGTCCTCTCTAGAGCAAGCTGCCGATAATTTTGATTCCAATGACTTCCTTTTCAGATATGCCAGCTTTATAGTGTATAAATGAGGTTTAACACACATGATCTTATTCTTTTCCTACCAAATTTTCCTTTCAAATTAGAAAAAAAAAAAATGGCTGGTGGTTTGAGTTACGAGCRTCAGACTCTGCGCCTGCCCATTTTTCTGCTGTCTCTCCTTGTCCTCCCAGCGGGAGTCAAGGGCTTTCATGGTCACCACTGACTTTTCAAAGTCACACGTTTGGCTTTGCTCCCTTTGCATTTTTGTTCCTACCACTTCACTTCTCCAGAGTGTTCTGCCTCTTGTGTTTGCTTATCTAGTGCATAATGGACCTTCAAGGTCCCACTCAAACTCATCTCTCCACAAGGACTTCCCTGACCACTCCAGGCCAAACGTCCTCTCAAATCCAACTGCAGTTTCAAATGCCAGATGCTACTTGGGGCACCTCTTAGACGGCTCTGTTGTGCCATTTGTTAAAATACCATGATGTTTTCACTTGCAGTTTACCTCCCCAGCTAGATGATAAGTCRTTTAGGACATTCA